TTCTCAGGGATTCATCCTTGGCCCTCAGAGCGTCATCCCTGTCGGCCGCCACCTGTCGATAGGCCACATCGGCCTGATCAACACCCTTATGCAGGGCCTTCACCTCTTCACGAAGCCGATCCACGCAGGCCATGGCCTCCTCGACCGAAGTAGCCTTTTTCTCGGCCTCCTTCAAACGGGCAATCTCTTGCTCTTGCCGCTTATGGCTCTCCATCAGCATAAGCGCACCCTGCAACAAAAAAGAAAAAAGAAGAGTTAGGACGAGGCGAAAACACGTGACACAAAAGACGTAAAATACGAGGAACTTACTTGGACGATGAGGTCCATCCCGCCGTCATAGATCCTGACGGGGCCTAGTTTCTTCAAGTAAGCCTGATCCTCAACCGGGACAGCTTGGGCCAGAACATCATGGTCGTCAACGGCGTCGTTGAAGACGCCACCCTTCACAGGGTACTCAACCTCGAGTTTGTAGGTCCCAACGGCCAGCTCCTTGCCGGCCCTCTGTTTCCGGGGCTCCTGGCCAACAGGTGGCGGCTGGGACAGGGCCGTCGACGAGGGGACCGAAATCGCATCAACAACGACAACGACATTTGAGCCCCCCAGCATCATCGTCCGGTATGGTCAGACCGCCGACACCAGCATCGGCCAGATGGGAAGCCCTCTTCGACTTCTTGGACTGCATACCAGCCTCGGTTAGTTTCCTCTGGCCGTCATCCACGGGCCGTTTCTTCTTCGGCTGCGTGGGTGGCTTCTTCGCTGCGTCGGAGCTCGGCTGAGCGCCACTCGCAGCGGCCATCTTTGCGGCCTCTTTTGCGGCCATCTCCTCCTTTGCCTTAGCTTTGGCTAAGGCCATGACGGATCTGCGATCCATAGCGAAGTCTGCACAACGAGGAAAACAAAGACAGTTAGCAAAAACAAAAAGTAAATATAGACGAAGACGCCAAGGAGGGTATTACCATCAGCGTCCGCGAGCACACCCAAATCTGTGCCATCGGCCTCCTCAAACGTGGTGGTCATCCTTGGCCACATCTCCAAATCGCTCTCCTTATCGCCGTACACATAGTACCTCATGAAGCCGAGGGCGGTCATCTTATACTCCATGATGTAATCTTTCACGCTTCTCGGCCCTCCTGTCAGAAATGCCGCCACCTGGGCATCCAAGATACTGCTTTTCAGCACATCGTGAAGGTTGAACCTAACGTCATGGCCGATTGAGGGAAACTCCGTGCCGTCCTCACCCAACGATACAAAGACGAACTTGCTCTACCAACCATGAATGGACGAAGGGAGATCAGTAAAACTCCTCTTCTTCGACAGCTGTTGAAGGCGTAACCTGGACCCTTCTTCGGCGTAACCTGTACATCTGGGCCACCAAGTAATCGGCCGCGCTGCTCTCCGGCTTGATCAGATAGAGGTTCGTGAGGTCCAGGTAGGAGTAACCTGGACCCTTCTTCGGCGGACGTCTTCTCGTCGGGGCAGCTCCCTTCACAGCAGAAACCGGCTTCGGGCAAGGAATCGCAGCCGAGGTAGACGCTCCATCCACAGCACGGGAAACCACTACGTCCTCACTGTCAGATGACGAGGCGGCCTCTTCGTCCTCGCCTTCGCTACCCTCTTGCTCCCCTGATTTGAAGGAGCTCAGCTCCTCTATCTCCTCACAACACTCCTCTACTACCTGATAGTCAAGGGATTTAACAGAGGGCTCATCGTCATAGGGGTAGTACTCGTCGTCTAAAGGCTTCATCATAATAACTAACTAGAGCCTAGGGAGTTTTACTTTGGATATAAGGGTTGATTCTCCACTAACAGCGGATCAAAGGCTAAAAGAAGCAAAGTATACAAGGAATTGGAGAAATGTTCAACGAACTGACCTTTGAATTTTTGAAGATCGGAAGAACACACGAAAAGTCTCTCTCTCTCTCTAGAAAATTTGACAGCACTTCGTTATCTCAGGAATGCAATGAGGAATCTCTTCGGAGGGAGGGGGGTATTTATAGACCTCCCACCAACGGTCACTACACGTGGCAACCCCCCCCGTTGGCCACATGAACGGCCACAACTCCTAGGGCCCATTAGGCTGGCACCGGTTTAGAAGACGGATCAGGCCCACTTCCGCAGTATCAGCCCATCGCCAACACGCCAACAAGCAACGCCCGCAACGGGCAACCACTCAACGGCCACGCCAAAAAGAGCGTGCCTACATCGGCCTCAACACAGATAACTTCAAAAGGGTAGGTCACATCTCAAGATACGCCCATATCGGCTTGAACAGAATGCCAACTGTATGGCCTTTTCAACGGCCACAACGACAGATCAAAAAGAAACCCCACGCCATCGGCCTTAAGTAAAACCCTGATGATAATTTCTTGAAAGCGACCTGCGTCCAAGGGTTCTCCCACAGGGTTAGCTTGGTCAGGAAATCGCCAAGGAATTGGATTCAGGGGAATGCATGAGTCCGCTTCGGCCTAGGCAAATCCTTTACTCTTTCACCCCTCACCTACTCTTCGGCCTGAAGTAGTGGGGGACTGGGGGACTACACCGGTCTTTGAAAATCAGGATAAAATCAAACAAATCCAAAAATATACTAAGTCCACAACTACAACATCAGATATGCACCACAACGGCCAAATAAAGCAAACAACACCCTCACCGGCTACCCGGAGGAAGAAGGACACTCCTCGGCCATGGGTACAAAGTTCAATCATCAACGGCCAGGAGTAGAGAAACATCGTCTTCATCGGCCACTCGCGCAAGAGAACACTCATCGTCTCCACCAAGCAAAGGCACTTGTCATCCTTGAAACCAGAAACATGCATCATCCGCACTACTAGGGCCCTCTTCGTCCACAGCGAAGACCACACAACGGCCAGAACGCGGAGTGCCCGTAATGGCGCAAACAAAAAACCAGAGCAAGGGATGCTAATAACAGCCAAAACAGGGAAAACCCCATAGTGGTCCCACGACGGCCAGAAAACGTCAAAGACAGAAAATCTACTCTCTCTCACTTCATCTACATCTCAACTTGGAGAGTGGGGGACTCTTGATGGAGTATATGGGCCAGGACCCCAGGGGCCACATACTCAGGAGATTGGAAGGTACCACGACCACCTGGTGGGACCCTCGTCGGCCAGATGGCCCTCATCGGCCAGATGACCCTCATCGGCCAGAAAGAAGTCTACTCAGAATGTGATCCAGAAGCCAGGAAGAGCCGGGTGACCTCGTCGGTCGGGTCTTCGTCGGCCACGCCCTCGTCGGCCGTGCCCTCATCGGCCATAGATGGCCTCCAAAATAGGGTTTTATACTTAATCTTTTCTATATACTTTGTATCCGGCCCATTAGTGGCCCTATTGTAAGTGAGCCTCCCAAGCCCAAGACTTGGGAGCCCAGTCCTAATTTTTCCTATAAATACTCCCTCTAGGAGTAAATGTAAGGGTTCAGAATTCATTAATACAAAACAAACATATTACTTCTCTCTCTAGCTCTCACTTCTCTCTAGACATATACTCTATCATTGTGTATATAACCGTTTATAATATGAAGATGATATGAAAATGTTGATTGTTAAGTATAATATATATGCGAAATTCACATGAATAATCCCTACTTTTATGAGTTTTACAATAATAATCTCTATTAAGAGTGTCCATAAAAATAATCCGTACTATCAATAGTGTCCATAAGAATAATTTAGAATAAAATCAAATTAATGCCCATTTAATCTCCCAAACCCTACCTCCACTTTGTCATTCACTACTCTCCGTTTCGAAGCACACTTTTATGTATTTTATGTTTCAACCTAGAGAGAACCACATATGGTGAAAATGATGTTGATATTAAACGGGTTTTAGTTTGAATTTTTTCCGAAAAGAAGAGTCAGGGCGAGAAAAATAGGAGTAAGGGTTATGAGTATTAAATGAACACTAATTTGAATTCACTGCAATTTTTTCTTATGAACACCTTTACTAGTTCAGATTATTTTAATGGACATTATTAGTAGGGATTACTATTGTAAAATCTGTAAAAGTATGGATTAAATTATTCTTGTAAATTTCAGTCATAATGATCATGGAAGTTCATGAATCATGAACATAATGTTGGTCGTTAGGGCGTTTTTAGGCATTAATATGGTTATTAATGTATTTAAAGAGGAAGTTAGTTACGAATTGACCAATCTTTATGAAGATGTCCTCAAACCTCCGGACAATGAAAGAATGATCAAGTCATCACATTTAGAGCCCGTTTGGTAGCACGAAAATCGGCTGTTTTAGCTGATTCTGCTGAAATTTATGTTCTGGTTGAAGTGGCTACATTGGCTGATTCTGCTGATACAAGAAAAAAATATTTTTAAAATATATTTTATTAATATAATAAAGAAAAAATTATATGTAAAAATAGCTAAAATGATCATCTACAGTAACTTCAGCCAATACAGCCAGAAAAGTAACTTCAACCTTACTTTTTCGGATTATTACACAATTCAGCGCGCGAAAGCAAAATTTACGTGTTTGGTGAAAAAGTTGGCTGATAAGCCTGATAAGCCGAAAATGAGGGTTGCCAAACAGTCTCTTATGAGCCTTTATTGGCAACATCAATGAGAAGGTCAACAAAAAATATTGTACATTAAATAGAACCGTTAGTATATAAATTGGCATTATTACAGGTCATAGTAACAGAATGTCAACTCGAAAGAAGAGTAATGACACCGGCTGATGTAATGGATCCAGAATTTAAAGCACGCTGACATGTCAGGTTTGACAAAACGGACCAAACAATCAAATCGTCACAACAGACGAATTGTTCAGGTACATTAATTACTCTTTCCTTTAAATATAGGGGTGAACCCCATTATAAAGGACAATCATTCTCATTCACTCACACTCTAAAACACACATATACTCATGAACATCATTCTGAAATATTCATAAGTTTATGAGGTATATAACTACTTCTTGTTGTTTCTTGTTATGTTTCATTTTTGCACGATACCCGATTGATTTGTTGTTTTCGAATATATTTAGCTTACAAAAAAGCTTAAACAATAATACTCCGTACCATAAAAGTATAAAATAAATATAAAAGTTTTACAAAAGTATACTCGGTAGATGTCAAAATCATTGTTTAGAAAGTCAAAGCCATAACTAAATGATGTATACGTGTGTATGTAAGGACAGGGGTCTCATGCATTATGTTTTGGAGTTTGGACAACCGGCCGGGCAGCTCCTGCTAGCTAGCTAAGCTAGTGTTTGGGGGGAATACATCCCATAATGGACGGAGGCAATTCCCCCACCTGCTCAATCCCTTCCTCAAAAACCACACCCATCCCCATGAAGAAATGCGCATCGAGGTGGCAATGAAAGAGCCAGACCCCCGGGTTATCCGCCTTGAACCGCAATGCGGTCCATCCGTAGCCATGGAGCGGGGCAGTGTATTTCATGATCGGGTTCACAAGGTTGAGCTTGTGCTGGTCAGTTGAGTGGTTATACTTCCCCGCTCCATAACCCAGCACCCAAAAGTCGTGCCCGTGCAAATGCCACGGATGTGTCTCACTCACTTGACCACTCAGCACGTTGGCATTCTGAAGGATGACGTCCACAGTGGAGTTGAACTTGAGCTTGTAATAGGAGCTGCTAGCCGTGGCGTTCGGGTTCTTCGGCTCCGAATAGATGTCGTAGTTTTTCACGTCGTAGGAATCCGGAGGCTGTGTTTGGTTAACACCGCCTCTTAGTAGACCGTCTTTTAGCGCGATCAGATACGGCTTCTCCGGAAACTTCAAGGACACACCGTTCATGGCCCACTTCTTTTTCCCGTCGATGTTGTTTTGGGTATTGAGCATGAGGATGACGCGGTCCGATGTCTTGGGCACCTCGACGACGCGATCCTTTCGGGCCACGATATCCCAGCTCTGCTTCAGCCGGGAGTCGAGGTCGTCCCAGCGCGCCGCCTCCGGTGGAGTCGTGGGTGGCTTTTTTGCAGCAGAATTACTGTTGAGGTAGGTGAGGATAGCCAAGCCATTTGGGGTGGTGCGGTTTCGAGCCACTACCGCCGAACTCATCCAGTAGCTCCTTGTAGGGTCTTGGCTGGCGTTGACCAATACCGAATATGTTTCGCCCGAATAAATGAACAGATTTGTCACTTCAAATGGTTCCACGTAGTGACCATCCGCCTCAACCACGGTCATACTATGACCCTGCATGCACCACCAAATTCAACACTCATTTAGAGGTTAATTAAAATTAAGATTAAGTTCTTTTTCTATTTTTCCCAAATTAATTATTATGACAACTCCTCTTAAAATGAGAATCTTTTATGATAACAATTGATGTTCTCAACTTTTAATTTCACTCAATCATTTTTCTTAAATGTTATTCAATCATTGGTAAACATTAAAATGGTTACGTCTTTATTTTTGTAATTATTGTTAGATAATTATAAAAATGTCACTTTGTTAATTCTAGCCGGCCATTGATTAGATAGGAATATGAAAGTCGGAAAAACTAATCAATATTGATCATCACCGGTTTTACGGAGCTTAGGAAGTAGTTTTTCTAAAGTTTCACGGGCAGTCACTCGGTCGGTCTTCGCCTCCACGCCCCTTAAGGATCTAAGGGAGTGTTTGCAACTGTTTCAAAATAGTATCACTTTTAAACTGATTTTGGAAAAGTGTTTGATAGTAAAAGTTGGCGGTGTTTGAGAAAAATTGATTTTGAAAAGTAAAAATTGATATTGTTTGATAAAATATGTGTTTTTTGTGTAATAGAAAAAAGTAAAAAACAGATTCTAGTTTTTAGGTTTTAAGTGTTTAATTTAAAGAGAAGTCACCGTTTGAACACACTTTTTCAGCACTTTCAAGCCAAAGGTTGAAAATCACTTTTTTTTTTAGTTTTTGCAAAGATACCCTAAATACATCTCTACTTAATTAATGCTCCTTCTGTCTCGTTAACAATGGAACAAGAAGGAGTGACACGCAAATTAATAAAAAATGGTTTATGTACTTGATAAAGTAAGAATAAAGTAAGAATGATTTAGAACCACACAAACTTTACCAAATTTGATATGAGATAATCTTAGTGGGACGGACCGATAAGGTAAAATGAGACAATCATAGCGGGGCAGAAATAGTATCGTTTTTTGGTAATTGAGAAATAGAAAATAGAAGTGTCTAAATCGATTGAACGAGTAACAAAAATATATATACCTCAATTTGGAAACTTAAAGCAGAAAGGGAGGTCAAGCTGCCGATCCTAATCCGGTAAGTCTTGCCGTAAACGACGGTCAGGGAATAAAGGGACTCTAGTCCTGTGTCATTACAAGCTGCGGCGGCGGTTGCATTTGCATTGCTACAATTGAACTTTCCTATTCCATTTATCAAAAGCGACTGTAAAATGCAAAACAAGGAGCAGTAGAATTAAAAACTATCAATCTTGTGTGAGTGATAGCCACAATTTTACCTTCCGGAAAAAGTAAACATGTGGCAAAAATCCAGAAATGATATGCAGTAACGTTGATAAAAAAAATCCCCAATTAAGTTGCATTTGCTAGGAAGACAAAAATTAGTTGCATTTTTTGAAAAATTTGTTTAAACTAAAAGTTAACAAATCATGAACTCATTTTTCCCTATTAATGAAGTTGCCATCTATATTTAACCAATGTAACATAATTTCACTGTGAAAACCAGTTGAACTACTTCCAAAGCTCCATTATAAATTAGTGTATTCTTTATTCCACCGGTGACAAGTTGAAATATTTTATGAGCTCTTATACAAATTCATGTGCTCTTTACTCCACAGAAGTCAAATTCAGATATCAAATTGACATTTTACTCAATAAAAATCAGCAATGTTTTTAATGGAGATTATAATTTTCGCCGTTTTTTATCTTTTTAATTGAGAGAAAACATGCTATAAATAGAATCAGGAAATCAAGTGTCTTTACCCTCTCCAAAGATACTTATGTCACCCTCACCCCATGCATGGGTGGTCATATAACATTTCAATTCTTTTTTTTTTCAGTTAATTGTTATAACTCTTTTTTTAATTATTTATAGTTCATTTTTAAACAAACATCTGTTCTTTTAATTTTTTATGAAATTTCATATAGTACCAATATTTTATATGTAAATTAAAAAAATTATTGACCATATATATATATTTATAAAAGATAGGTTCTTTCCCAATTTTTTCAATATGTAATATTGATATCATTGGAAAGATCATAAAGAGTTATTAAATCCAATATATTTTTTATAAAAATTAGATTGCAAGTAATATAAGTTACTCACTCTGTCCCATTGAAGGATTCTCACTTTCCCTATTTGAGTGTCTCATTTAAAGATTCTCATTCTATTTTAGGAAATAATTGATTCTCTTTAATTACATCTTTACTCAAATTTCTCTTTCATAATCATTAGATGTCAAATTTCAAAAGTTCACCCCCAACTAATTATCTCCCACTAATTACTTTCACTTTATATGTTTACTTTTTCTAAATTTTTTCTCTCCTATCTTTTTTTCCACCAGCCTAAAAAATCATGTCATTTACTCCTTTTCCACGCCAAAAAGGGTGCAGGAGAACCTGCCAACAGAAACGGAGGAAGTATAAAAGTTTTTTTAAGACAAATATTTTAAGGAAGTGTGATTTTCGCCGATGAAGAAATCGGACTAGGCCGGGGGGTCCAGACTTAAACAGATCAAACTAGACAAGACTTAAATAGAACAAACTAGACTTGACTTCCGTAGTTATAAAATACACAGAGGTCAAACATTTATCAGACAGTGTCAGATTTAAATAGAAAAGACCAGACTAGCAAATGACGGTCTAAGTAAAAAGATTCTCAGAACAATGAAAAAATTGAATGGGACTATATTGATAGTCCGTACGTACCTGAGGCTCGCCAACCCACCGAAAGGGGGAGGCAGCAAGGCCAGCCGCTTGGTCAAGATGACTCTGGTGGTACCAATCCTCCAGCAGAATACTTGTTTCATCGTCATACACAAATGGTTCCGGATTTCCAGCAGCGGCAGCCACTATGATAAGTGATTGTAATCCTTCCGATCTTAGCAACCCACTATGAGGATGGTAAAGGAATGTTCCCGGCTGCACTTATGTAAATTAAACAAATTTAATCCCAATTTATTAATTAGCAAAGAAAGAAATAATAGGATAAAAAACTTATCATTTTGACAAAATATTGAAGTTTTGATTTTAATGTGTTTGAATCGTGCTATAGTCAAAATAATTAAATCTAAAATTACTTTTCTGATTGAATTGATTAGAGTTGATGAAGAAGGCAATTTTAACTTAGGTATAATTTTTCTTAGTTAATTATATACTTAAATTTGCAATATATATACGTTATACGGAGTATATTTTAAATATATTTTCTCCATTTTTAACTGTATTCCGCCGATTGAACTGTTTCAATTATCACTTCATCAATTTATATATGTTCATAGCGTTCACCCAATTCCAAAACTAAATGGGCTCCAATGCATAACTCTTTGTACCAAAAAAACAAAAATATTAAATTGTCAAACAAGTAATTATTTAAAGAAACAACCCCACTTATATTACTCCAAGAAAAGTGGTGAACAAAAATGTGACTATAACTTTTAGTCACTATAGTTATATTTAAAGTTGCTATTATGTAGTTATTAAGATATAAACTAATTTGAACACAATTATAATCACAAAAACTGACTAAATCACACTTTTGTCAATGACTTTTTTATTAGTAATATTTTAAGAAAAAACTCTTTAAAAACTTTATATAATATATATCACGAAATAATTATATATATATATATATATAAATATATATATATATATATATATATATATAATTACAATAAAAATAATGGATAAAATACAATTTTCTATACTTTAGTAACCATAGTAATACCAATAGTAATGGCTAATATGTTCAATTCGTTCTGCTTCAATTCACATGATTGCAACTGAATATTGTTGACACTAATAGTTTTTTTTTTTAATTTTTGAAGAGTAGTCACATTTTACTAATATTTAAAGGGGGGAAAGTAACTAATCACAAAATTCTTGACAGGTTTGATTATAGTTAGCATTAGGACATATTAATAAATATAAGGATATTTTCTTAAAAATTATTGAGTTAAAATCTTTTGTTGTTGTTGTATTAGTGAGCTAAAATATAGGCATAAAAATGTGAGTAAAATTGATTTAATCATTAGTACAGTGTAAATTTGAATATATATATCATAGTCAATAAAAGTGACTAATAAACTCACTATGTAAAAGTTGTCAGATTTTTTAAAATCTTAATTTTTGCAAGGGAAAGGAGCAAATAATCACACGTACTCACCAAAAAAGATCAAATAAACTCTTATATAGGAGGCTCTGTCCGGCCGTCACCATTTGGAGCAGTTCCTGTTGGAATTTTTTGATAAAATGTTTTTAGAATCTTATTCATCAAGTCTAGTTTACTCATACCAAATTTCAGCTAACAATTCAATTGGGAAGGCATTCAAATAAATTCTTGAAGATAACTGCGCTTTTAACGGCGCAGTTATCTTCAAGAATTCATTTCAATGCCTTCCTGATTGAAGTTTTAGCTGAAATTTGGTATGAGTAAACTAGACTTAATGAATAGTATGCTCAAAACATTTCATCAAAAATTTCCACCGAGAACCGCCCTAAATGACGACGGCCAGACATAGTCTCCTATATAAGGGCTTATTTGACCTTTTTTTTGTTAGTACGTGGACTTATTCGATGATTTGTAATGTACAAATCATCAATAATGAGTCATTATTTGTAAATATAATACGTAGTACTAAGCTAGCTAGCTATATTTCCCCCGGTAATATCGGGCATTGGCTCACTCCCTCAGTGCCATCAACCCACGGCCTCCGAGACTGATGATATCATGCATCATTAATGATCATTAATATTATAGTTAATTAATCAAATATATATTGTAGACGATGTAATGATGCACTGGATGAGAAAACTAAATAAGTTTACAAGGAGAGTACATACAAATAAAAAGACGAATATATGCAACACACATTAAGTTCACACAAAAAATATCTACAAATCTATAATCTAACATGTACATAATATTTTTTCTTAAATGAAACAATTCAACACCATAAATTCAAAAAACAAAACATTACTGCCTTGGTTAAGTTCTACTAATATGAAACAAAAATAAAGTTGAATTATGTTGTTGTTATCTTACTATCTAATACGGAGTACGCAATTGTTGAGTATGTGGTTTTGTTGATGACTAACCATGCAGGTAGAACGGCGGATAGAACTGCTCACAGTTTCTTAAGGAACGGAGGACATAACTTACATGGTTCTGTGTGGATGATTGCTTGATTATAGGGTTGTTGAATTAAATAGTGAATACCTTGCTTATGTGCTCATTTGTTTTAATAGACCAATTATTTAGTCTACACTTTTTTAAGCAAGGATCTTTTCGTGCATGACTATTTTATAAGTGAAGCATAACTATTTTAAATCTCCTTCAATGCATGATTAGATACACATCCAATAATTGACTTGTCCCACATAGCTTGACATTTTATGGAAAGGATCTCTAGCTACTTCGCATGATTGCATGACTTAATCATTGTGTGCTTATATACGTCAAGTAAATAAATTTGCTTCCCTTAATATACGATGATATATATATTTGTGGAAAATCATCTTTGTTTGAAATATGATCCATATATGTATGTATGAGTTCATTGCACCTAAAAGTAAGAATCTCCACACAAAAAGGAAGGACATTCAAATCATAACAAGGCAAGTCCCACGCTTGGTAACTTGGCCATCCAAGGAGAGAAAGCCTCAATGGATCTACACCAAGCAGCTATACATATCGAAGATCAAAATGAAGAAGGCGTTCTTGACCGAGATAGATATTGAGAGACATACTCACTAAAGAACTACCGGAGTCCAAGGCACCTGAAACTGTTCACATAGAGTTCTAGATATAGTTCCTACTCTTCCTTCTTCTCTTTGAGATGGGGTTTTTTAGGATTGGCTAATTGTAGCATCCTCGAGTTGGTTGGTGTGTGGTGAGAGCTTTGTTGTAAAACTGAGAGGCTCTCTACTCGCAAGGTAGAGAAGCATAACTCTTCCTAGAGAGGATATAGTTGGGGTGGATCAAGGGTAGACCAGAAAAGTTTCTCTTGTCACCATTCAAAGGATTTTTAGTGAAGTATATGATTAGGGATATGATTACACGTTGGATCTACAAAGGATCTTCAACAGATCGAAAAAGTTGGGGTGGCCTAAGGAGTCAATTAGGGATATGATTACACGTTTTACTCATATCATAAATGAGCTTTCAGTCCTTGGAAAAGTTATTTCGATTTGTTGAAGATCAAGTAAGGAAGGTCATGAGAAGCATGCCCTCTACATGGAAGCCTAAAACTACGGCAATAGAGAAAGCAAAAGATTCATCCATAATGACTCTAGAAGACCTTATGAGTTCACTCATGACATATGAGTTAGGGTTACAAGAAGAGCAAGATACTGAAAATGTAAGGAAAGAAAGCTAAGAGGAATTGCTCTAAAAGCTCGAGGGGAAGAGGAGGAATCCGAAAGCGATTCAGAAGATGAGATGAGCATGTTTGCTAAACAATTCGGGAAGATGTACTGGATGTTCAAAAGCAACAGGAACAAACAATGTAAAAAGAAATCTCAATCTTTTAATAACCAATGTGGTTTTGTTTGTGGTTCCTTTGAGCACAGGGCAAAGGACTGTCCACAAAAGAAGAATGACAGAACATATGATGACAGCTTGGGGAAACTCGTCTGATGATGATGAGGAGGAGAGTGATAAGAGCTCTTATCATGCAGGTATATGTCTTATGGCTAATTGCGATGAGGAATCCGACCAAGAGAACTTTAAGGTAAATTTGGAAAACTTTATATCTAAGTTTGATTCTTTGCCCAAAACCAAACTTCAGAATTTTTTTAATAGATTGACTATCGAGCTTAATCAAAATCTTTATGAAAATGAGAATCTTAAATCACACATCACTGAGCTTGAATCTAAATTAGGAAGAAAAATTTTAGGAAGAAAAAATAAAAAACATATGTGTGACTGTTTTGAGATGATTTGTACAAGGTGAGATTTATGATTTAATGATTTGCAAAGAAAATGAAAACCTAGAATAGCAGGTCATCAACTGATCAAGGATCAGCGAATGAAGATGGGATGCAAAGGTTGAATTATTCCTGAATTACGATAATGTGGGACTATTGTAAGAAGACTGCTAAAATGTTGGATTATTAGTTTTCATTTTCCCTTTATATAAAAGCATTCACACACTCGAAGTATAAATATAGAAAATCAAGGCAAGCTCTATGTATATATGTATAACCGAGTATATGTGTAATAAATATAGAAGTTGGTTGAAATGAGAACATGATCTAAAGAGAGCAATGAGTGATTCTGAAGCATTGGATTTGAATATCATGCATTATATGAAACAGAAATGTGCATTATAATTAATTAGAAACAGTTATTTGAACTGTGCATTATTTTTACACACATTTACACATTTGAACATTGCTTTATTTAACTATCGATAACGTACATCCCCTCAAACCATATTGTGCATTATTTAGGATCATTCTCATTTCTCACGAGATGAAGTCTTCTCACTGTAACCAGGCCCTATATATGTGTGTAGATTCAGGATCAAATGTGAACAACGCTTAGTTTGCAAACCGCTGTTCGGACAAGGCGATTTGGGGCCCTTCCTATTGAATTTTTTTGATAAAATGTTTTGAGCACGTTCTTTATCAAATCTAGTTTATACACACCAAATTTGAGCTACAAATTAAATAAAAAGGCTATCAAATAATTTTCTGAAAAGCATTTCGCTATTTATGTATATTTAAATCCACAGTGTTCTTTATTAATTTATTTAAGTGCTTTCCTGGTTGAATTTTTAGCTGAAATTTGACCGAATTTCACACAAACGAATCTCAAAACATTTAATAAATGCATTTTATATGTATATGTTGGAGACCTTTCTGGTAGATTTTTTTTATAAAAGTTTTTGAGCATGTTCTTCATCAAATCTAGTTTATAATCCATCAAATTTCAGCTAAAAATTCAATCGGAAAAGGAGTTATATATATAAATAGCAAAGTTTTTTTCAAAAAATTATTTGATAGCTTTCCTGATTTAGTTTTTAGCTCAAATTTGGTGTGTATAAAGTAGATTTGATAAAGAACATGTTCAAAACAATTTATCAAAAAAAATCATTAAGATGGGCTCCAAATGACCTCGGTCCGAGGACGGTTTGCTTAGGCCGGCTGGACATGAATTGTCCTCTCTCTCTCTCTCTCTCTCTCTCTATATATATATATATATATATATATATATATATATATATATTATATAGACAAATGTTCAGGTCCAGAATTCCGGACCAGAACCGCCGTCCGGCCGACGGTATTTGGGGCCCTTTCCGGTGGTTTTTTTCGATGAAATTTTTATGGAATGTTCTTCATCAAGTTTAGTTTATCTACAAACAAAATCAGCTAAAAACTAAATCCGGAAGGTGGTCAAATGATTTTTGGAATTTAACTGCGTTTTATATGTATTTTTTTGCGCAGTTAACTTCAAAAAATCATTTGACGACCTTCCTGATTGATTTTTTAGCTGAATTTTTTTGTGGATAAACTAGACTTGATGAAGAACATGCCATAAATATTTCATCAAAAAAATCCACCGATAAGGGCCCCAAAAGCCATCAGCCGGACGGCGGTTCCGGTCAGGAAGGCTGACCAGAACACTACTCTCTCTCTCTCTCTCTCTATATATATATATATATATATATATATATATATATATATATGTATACACCCACATAAATATACACATATATACACACACTCCGTATAATATACTCCCTCCATCCCAATTTGATAGTCTCATTTCTTTTGGGCACAAGTTTTAATAAAGTGGTTGAAAAGGTAAAAGTTGTGGTTGAGATTTGAGTATAATAAAGTGAAATGATATGGACCACATCTTTCTTTCTCAAAAAGGAAACGAGATCATCATTTTGGAACGTCCCAAAAAGGAAATACGGGACTATCATTTTGGGACGAAGGGAGTACTCCGTATGTATGTATGCATCATGCATACAAAGGGAAAGAAATGAGTTAGGTCGGATAGTGTGCGTGGGGTGTGAGACTTGTCTATTCTTTCTAGCTCGTGCACACAATTATTTTAAAGGGAAAGAGTTTATTCAATGCCGTTTTCGAGGGATGTACACCTATGATTTATTGGTCTAGCGTGAATCTATTAAGACAATTCTAAACAATAAAATTACACTTTTTGAAAGAAAGACATGACATGGATCACAACCGAATCATCCTTGCATTGTTTATTTTTTCATATCATAAACAATCAAAATTTAACATTTACAATTAAGAATTTAAGATCGAGTTTCTCCATATATAAGCAATCATTCCATCATAATTTCATAATGGTTTAAATGGCTTATAAAAATCGTTGTATGTTATTCGAATGGATTATTATCTCATCTAACAGTTATATGGAGTATTTTTTTATCCGAATGGGGTACTATTTTTATCTTAAAGCACTAGTACTAAACTTTCTCACCCACTTGTCCTCGTCCTCCGCTATATGCATGCATAGATAACAAATTATACAAATAGAAATGATATGATAGTGATGAGCAACCTGTTTGATGCCATGCCAATGGATGGCGAGATCGGTCCTTAGATTGTTTATGACGTTGACCACGATTGTGTCACCTTGGGTTGTGTTGATAATGGGTGCCGGGTATTTGCCGTTGACGGTCAAAGTCGGTTTCCGGTAACCATCCGGTGACCGGGGCTCGAACTTTACATCCCACACTTGATAGACCGTTTCGGCCTCCACTGATGAGCTGCTGGTGGCCAAGACGAAGAGGCTGAAGCGAAGGGCGGCTAATACAAACATCCTCATCTTGCTATACGTCGTCGTCAACCGTCTTGGCGGCGCCGGCCGGCGGCCAATTTGATTGATGTTGAAAGAATAAAAATAATCCCAGACCAGTAGTTGGTTAATTCCTCTTACCGTTGATCTGAGTATTTATAATTTATTTATAGTATTTAAGTCTAGTCTAGGAACATATGAACGCAACACTGAACCGGTAACATCTTAAACCGCCTGAAATTTCCGTGTCTGAATTTTTACTAATCTAAAAAGGGTATTCTTTCACGACCCCGAAAATACGTTTAGTCGCTCACCGTGAATTTAGGACTTGAAAAAGGAAAGTTACGGGCTGGAATGATATGCAAAATCTGGAGACATACAAATTGATGAATCTTCAAAGGAAAGAATACAAGTTCGAGTTTAGGCTATCTTTGTCACGCATAAGTTCACGCCTTATAACTTTTGTACTATTTAAAAATTCCTTAGAAGCTTCATTGTATAGTTGACATGCCAATTTTTAAGAGCTTTTACAAAAATAAAAGATCTTTTTCATATGCTACATTGAGTAGCTTCTACCATTAATTAGTCCTAACAGCTTGTATAACAAATAAAGCTAAATCAAACAATCGGCTTTTTATCAAACAACTGCTACCTTTTTCTTATAAGATGTTTTCAGTCACTAAAAGTTAACAATTACTAAAAAGATTATAAAAGTATCTTTTCAGCTAGTTGTGCCAAACATATCCTTAATCTCAATCAAGATGTTAGCATTGTCACTCTAAAAAAAGATGTTAGCATTATCATGAACAGAAGTACACCTAACAAAAGGTTTAGAAGTATATTCTAAACAACCTGATTTTCTTTTAAGTCAAATATTTTATAAACAGAGTATTATTTAAATTTATGAAAATAGTAAACTTTTTTGTGAGGAAGAAAGTCACAAAAATTAGTGTTAAAATCAATATATAAGGAAAGAAATAAAAAACTACTACGTATGATATTTTAGGTATGAAGCCCTGAATAGATACTTCGTATATTTTATTTTTATGATTTGATTGATATCTCACAATAAATTTCCATCAATAAATGAATGTAATTAATTAATACACTTATTTGTTTCAGCTAGCTAGCCTCCCGGCGAACTCCTTAACCCTCCTATACTTTCCAGTCAAATATATATCGCAATGTATGGTGACTTACATTACAAAGTGATGCGCACTTTGATGATAGGTGGTAATTTGCTGCACGCATTCTACACAATAATAATTACACCCCTCCCCACTATAGACTATTTCTTCTGTTGTCCAGATATTAATAAAGTAAATGTATCAAAGTTTATGTATTGACCATAATGAATACATTGAATTTGGAGATTGAAAAAAAAAAGAATTCCATTTTGTTCTCATGGCTCCTTTTAATATTTTTATATCAATTTGATACTGTTAACTTAAAAGAAATATTTAAAACTTTAACATATAATTACATAATTATGGTGTTTGACCCTGTGAATTAAAAAATGATTTGAAAATTTAAAAGATCATTTTGTACTCGATGGATCCTTTTATCTCAATGATATTACATTTTCATATAAATATTAATAAAGAGGCATTATATTGAATACAAAATAGATTTTAACTTTTTTTTTTCACTTTCGAAATCCAATATATACATTTATTTTTTTCTTTTTTAAAATTTTTGGTTATATATTTAAAGTTAATAAGGATAAACTTACTCTTAAATAAAAACTTTAAGTATATTTAATTTTGCACCTTTCTAAACCTTAGGGCATATCTCCACCCGAAGGTAAATATGATGGGTATATTAGTAGTTTTCCTCTATTTGTTTATTTACGAGCATTTCTTTTTAATAAACACTACCTCATTATAAAATTAACAAAAATAACATTCATGATATTACATTATACTCTTACGCATTTGAGTTGATCGAAACTTCATGATCCTCAAATTCTGACTAGATCAAACCAAACCAGACCAGCTAGATCAGCAAATTTAGTCTAAAAGAAAACATCGTAAGTAGTTTAGAAAAGAGAAATTACTCAAAATAGGACTAAAAACGTTTGTATATTTCAAAATAGGACTATGATGTTTTTATTCCCAAAAAGATTTCTAGAGTAGCCTTAGTTGGATAAAAGGTTGGTTGGGCGAGAATGAGTCACATGACGGACTAGGTTAATGGACAAGATTGTGTTTCAAACACTCTACTCTATGCACACTCTACTAGTAGTTTTGTGCTCATTTTTATATCCACTTTTATACCTACCATATCTGTGGAAGATTTTTTTATGTCTGTGAATTTCATTCATAGACAAAATATGTCTTATTTTGTCTGCAAAATATGTCTTGTTTTGCACAAACAAAATAAGACAGAATAAAATTAAAGACATAGTGAATGTAACATGGGTATAATTGTATAAAGATGAGTATTAAAATGATTGACTATTTGACTAAATGGGATGGAAATGCGCTGTATATGGAAACTTGCCATATAATTCAATATACGTATTAAAATGGTATTTTATACGTGCTTCGATTCGAGTAACTATTTGGCGTTTTCACTTTCTTTTCCCATAGCGTTTCGAGTCCGGCAGCTCCTAGTTTACTTTCATATGAATATTAAGAGCCCGTTTGGCAGCATGAAAATCAGCTGTTCTGACTGATTCTGCTGAAATTTATGAAGTTCTTGCTGAAGTGGCTGCATTGCCTGATTCTGCTGATACAAGAAAAAAAAATTAGAATATATTTTATTAATAAAATAAAGAAAAAATTATATGTAAAAATAGCTACAATGGGATGGAAATGTTACAAGGGGTAGCTCAATACAGCCAATACAGCCAGAAAAGTAACTTCAACTACTTTTTTGGCTTATTACAAAATTCAGCGCGCGAAAGCAAAATTTACGTATTTGGTAAAAAAGTTGGCTCATAAGCTTGATAAACTGAAAATGAGGGCTGCCAAACGGCCTCTCAATATATGATGGCTAACTAATTCGCTATCAATCTAGACTACATACTCCGTAATAGCCGATGGTTTAGTCAAACTTGAATTCATTGTGTCAAAAATTAAATATAATCATTTCCTTACCTTGGTCCAGTACCTAATGAGTGTGCTATTACTTCATGGACTCATTTAAAGCAAAGTAATTTTGTTCCGACCATTTATAAACGAAACCTGATCCTTGAGAGCCTCCCAACATCGATGAACAGTTATGGAGGACGTAAATTGGACTTTAATCATCATCTGCTAGATAGAGAGTGGGACTGGGTTCTGGTCCTGGTACTTGCAGAGACCCTATGCATTTTTAGCATAGTAATCTCTAATCACAGTTGTCGAGGTTCGAACCCGAAACTTACCCCTTGTGACACCCCCTATCTACCACTTGAGCTACGCCCACCGATAAAAATTTGGAGTGTTTATCTCATACCCCTTCAAAAAAAGGTTAAAGAAAAGAAAACAAAAAAAAAGAAAATTGTTCCGACCATTTCATGGACATGAAGAACCATCAACACCGGATGATGTCAATATGAGGCTTATGTCCATTTCGAAAGAATGGATCCCTACATGCTATGAAGAATTGAAGACTAAAGAAGGGATGATTTTTGAAACATTAGATGAATGTGAGCAATTCTACAAAACGTATGCTCATCATGTTGGTTTTACTGTGAGGAAGTCATCTTCTTAGAAGAAGAATAAAACTGGTGAGTTGAAGTATAAGTATTTTGTTTGTTCGAAGAAAGGATATTTAGAAAATACTAATGCATCAAAGGGCAAAGAAAAGTTGAGAGAAAGAAAATTATCAAGGGAAGGGTGCAATGCTTTAGCGGGATTTAAAAGAACTGAGTGTGGTAAATATGCATGTACTCTTCAAGTTTTGTGAAGGTCATGTGCATTTGCTTACAACTCCCAAGAAGTGTCACATGCTAAGATCATATAGAAGCGTGAGTAGTGTCCATCAAACGCTATGATGGAGTATATGGACTCCGACCCCTCGGTCTGTCGACTATTGGGCCGGGACAGCGGTTCACGTACATCCAGCAGACATCATTTATATTACTGTATAGTTTACACCAGGGGCGGATCCAGGAACGGGACGTGGGGTGGGCTAAGCAGTAAAAAAAGTTGTTACTGCACACAAAATGTTTAATTTAGGGTTGTTATCGAACTAAGCTTTTTTTGAACTACACGAGTTTGAACGCGATTTCAAATTTAATTTAATGACTCAAGCTTAACAAGCTTCGAAGTCGAAAACGGCTAGATTTTCAGTTCGAATAGTTATTCAAGCCGAGTTTGAGCTTAGTGATGTTCGGTTCAATCCGGGCTCGACCTATCGTTAACTTATAAATCATAGGAATAAATTAAACCGTATATAACTTAAAATTTAAACATTTTTAGTGCGATTTTATAAATTTATTAATGATTATTAAAGATTTATTTCAGATTTCAATTGAAATTTTTAACTATTTCTTACATGTCACACAATAAATAAATTATTCCCTGATCTTCAATTGTATTATAAATAAATCATTCACTAATCTTTAATTTTATCTTAAATCATTTTTTGGGAAAAAACAATTTATTATTAACCATAATAAATTTATAATGAATAAACACTATTTTATTATGTACTGAAAAATTCAATTAAGAATCAAATAGATTTACAAAACTAAAAAAATACATGATAAACCCAGAATACTTAACAAACAACAAATATAGCAGTTATAGAAGAAGCAGATAGAAAGATATGTAGATATTATACGCGAATCTGGTATACCGTATGAAAACCGGCCGCTGCTCTCCCTGGAGAAGGAGAGCAGCGGCAAACCTAAACTCTCTCTATCTTTACGCCTCTGCGTCTCTAAGCCTCTATCAATCGTTTTGGGTTCCCGTAAGTTAGCCTCCTTTTATAGGAGAAGTTGGCTAACTTACGGGTTACAAGGAAGCCCACGGGCTGATACACATTTGTGGCCCGTATTACACGATTAATTAATAACTACACAAATACAAAGATAACTAACTAGATTGAACACCATAAAATATTCCCAACAATCTCCCCCTTGGTGATCAATCGTGTTGAATCAGCATTGCAGCGCAGATATCTTTGTCTTTGTTGTTATTGAGCTTCCTTTGTCTTTGAACTTGACTTCTGAGGAAGGCTATCTGAAGAAATCCTTGCAATCTCCCCTTTGATGTCTTCTTGACAATTTGATCTTTGATGCCGGGGGTTGAGGGACCTTCAGTATCTTGCATGTAGTCCTTGCCTTCCAGAAGTTGCTCTTGATCAGCTTAGATGAAGTCCGGTGACGCCTCTAGAATGAATGTTCTTTGGAGAATAGGAGACGCCCATGGAATTCATCTTCAGGACAGGAGTATTTGACCTCTGTCTCCTCCACAATTTAGTCTTTTTGACTATTTGG